AGCCCCGCATCAGGCTCCCTGTTCGGCGGGAGGCCTGCTTCTCCCTCTCCCACTACCCCTGCTTGTGTTCCTGCTCTCGCTCTCTCTCTCCCTCTGTCAAATAAACAAATAAAATCTTTAAAAAAAAAAAAAAAGATAATCTGATTTCTTTGAGATGAAAAAAGATACTTTAAGCAATGTTATTGCCTTTTTTAAAGATTTATTTACTTTTCTTTTAAGATTTTATTTATTCATTAGAGAGAGAGCATGATCAGGGGGAGATGCCAAGGGAGAGGGAGAAGCAGACTCCCCACTGAGCAGGGAGCCCGATGAGGGGCTCGATGCGGGGCTTGATCCCAGGACCCTGGGATCATGACCTGAGCCAAAGGCAGACGCTTAACAGACTGAGCCACCCAGGTGCTCCTAAAGAGAGAGAGAGAGAGAACAGGCAAGGGTGCAGGAGCTGGGGGAGGGGCAGAGGGAGAGAGAATCTCAAGCAGACTCCCTGCTGAGCCTGGAACCAGAGGCGGGGCTTGATCCCACAACCATGAGATCATGACCTGAGCTGAAATCAAGAGTTGGATGCCTAACCGGCTGAGCCACCCAGGGGCCCCAAAGTTATTGCCTCTTTACCATATTTCTCAAAGAAATAAGCATCTACGGTTTTCTCTGTTATGACCAAGTTTGCATGAAACAAAGATCCCATCACAAAGTAAATGAAAGGTACATAGTGTTGTACAAAAATTTCTGTTAAACTTCCCAGTGGAAATGTTAGTTAAAGATGAATACAATGTCAAGTTGCTAAGGACCTTAGGCTCATCTAAAGCAGCTCCTTCATTTTACAAAGGAGAAAAACAATGTCCAGAAACTTGTCATTTATGGACATCTGAGAGTCACGGAATGGCAGAGCGGGAACCAGGTCTCCTTTGGGCCCCATGCCTGTTCTCAAGGCACTCCCCTACCCCTCCCCCATCTCACACACACACACACACACACACACACAGTGCATCACACAGTGCATTGCTCACATTTTCTTCAAAAAGTAAACAACATTTAACATGTGATTTAAATTAGGAATGGGACTGAAAAGTCAAGCATGTGAGAGAAATCGAAACACTTTATGGGACTACTGATGCCAACAAATTACATCCTTTGGAATTTTGCCTGCAGTGGAGCTTTTAGGGGATCTGGAGACTGAATTCAGCTCCCTAAGCCAAACATTCACCTGGAGAGTTGCACAATCAGGTTACCTTGAGTGTAACGGCAGCACTGGATTAGAGTTTTGTCTTTTCATTTCTGTCTTGTGACAAGTTTTGAGAAAAAAATAATAAAGCACTACATGATAGTAAAGGGGGAAGAATGTCTATCAACCTGGAATAATCACTTCTACCATGACATTTCTGCTGGCACAATGCCCTAATCTAGGCCTTAATTAGTTCTTAGTACCTGGGTTATACCTGAGACAATCGGGTCTTCTGGCCCCCAGCTCTGTCTCCTTGCCCCACACTGCACCCTCTATCATTGGCCTCTCCTGCCTATTTCAAATCCTATCCAGGCATCAAGACACCACTCATGTCTTTCATGCAGCTTTTCCCACTGTTCCATCCCTCCCTGGCGAGCTAGCCCTTCTCTGGTTTTATGGATGTTTCTCTTATTATTTCATAATGGTTAGTCTTGCATTCCCAAATTTAGAATAACATCTTTTTTTAAAAAAAAATTTATTTATTTGAGAGAGAGAGAACATGAGTGGAAGGGAGAGGCAGAAGCAGACTCATCGTTGAGCAGGGAGCCCGACACAGGGCTCCATCCCAGGACCCCCAAGATCATGACCTGAGCCAAAGGCAGATGCTTAACTGACTGAGACACCCGCCCCTCAGCATAACATCTTTCAGGCAGGACTCATGTCTAGGAATCTCTTCAGCCCTCTTCCCACCCCTTTCCCCATATACTCTAACATCTTGCTGACTATAGCAGATTTTCAGTCAATACTTTGTTGGAAAATCCAGACAAGGTGGAGGAAGAAAATGCCTACTTCATCCAAGTAATGCTGCCCAAAGCATCAGCACTGTTTCTGGACCTAACTCTCTCTGCCCATTGCTCTTCCTCAGACTCCACATGATGGCCCTACTACATTGTCACTCACTTCTTCCTCTGCTGGGTTTCTTAAATCAGCCCCTTCTCGCTAACCATGGCCCTAAGTCAGATCCACTCACTTCCAGCCAAGGTCATGACACATTTTTTTTAGCCACCTCTCCTACTCCAAGGACCGTAGCCAAATGAAAGTGTCCCCACCACGTGAGAAATCCAGCTTTCCCCAGGCTTGAAGGCAGAGGTGATGTCATGGAGACACTGAAGCTGTGGAGACTCCCCTCCTCCCACTTTAGCGCCTCAAGCCCAGGTGTCCCTACCCCTGAGCCCAGCTAAGACTACAAAATATTGCTGCTCCCTCCCTCTACTTCCCTCAAAATGACCATGGTGCAGAGGGGACGTCTTGATGTAGCAGGATTTTCCCACCTACAAGCCTTCCTTGGTCCCTTCCCACATCCAGCTGCAAGAACTTTCGCCAGCACCTGCGTTCCAGAGCTCTCTGCCAAGGCTGCGTCCCACGGAAGTGAGGGGAGCCTCTAGCGGATCCAGGCATCCTGCTCCTCCAGTCCCACCGCTCTTCACTCAGGCCCGGACCGCACCCAGCGCTCCTGACCTGAACAGCCCAAGCTTAATTTTTCTCAATGAAGAAAAGTTTTCCCTCCCCCATTTCATCTTAAAATAAGGAGTAATAGATTCCAAGTAAAACATCTCTGCATTGCTTAGATAGTGCCCTCAGTAAAACATGCCATTTCCCTCTCCCTGTCAGCGGCCGGGGTCTAAGGTCTCAGAAGTTGTCTTCTCTCCTCCTCCACTCCCTCCCCACTGCCCCGACAAGGGCCGGGAGTCTTAATCCACTCCCAGCCCTCCAGGAGTCGTCCCCCTAGCTCTCTCACACACCCAGGGCGCACACACACCCCGCAAATTGCTCTCCACCGTGCTCGGCCCTCCCAGGCCGCATCTTAAACCAGGGCGTTCCCTCCCTTCTGCCTCCCCGGAGCTGTCCTCCGCCCAGTGTCCCCTGCTCCTTCCTCAGTGGGCTCCGCTCCCACGCCCCTCACTCGCCGGCACCTGCGCCAGCAGCGGGGCCGCGGGAACCCTTCCACCCTCGGGCAGCCGCAACAGGTGCAGCCCTAGGTGCCAAGCGCCGAAACCTTAACCTCGCGCTTGCCCCGGGGTCAGAGCGCTCCGCCCGGCTCTAACAGCCCCCAGAGCGCCCGGGGGAGGGGGGTCCAGATGACCGCGCGGATCAGGGTTCGCCCTCCCTGCCACTCCACCGCAGACTTTCCTCCTGGGGCTCCTGTGCCCGGCGCGCCACTTACCCAGGGCGAGGGCCAGGAGCAGTGGCAGGGAGCCGGCGCCGCTGCCCGGGGCGGCCCGGTCCATCAACCCCACGCTGCGGGGCCGGACAAGCCCCTGGACGAGTCTCCCGCCTCCTCCTGCGCCCCTTCCCGGGCCACGGGCGCCCGAGGGCGGGCCTGGAAACTACTCTCTCGGGCCAGCAGGAAATGAAACTACTTCTCAGGCTGGCACCCGGGCCCCTGGGCAGGCAACACCCCGGGCGGGCGGGCGGCAGGCTCCGGTAGTGTGGCCGGGAGGAGGGAGCCTCCTATTTATCCTCGCTCTTTCTGCACACACCCCAGCAGCGAGGCGCGGGACTCGGTGGTGGTAACCTCCACGCTGTTCCCACCCAAATTGCCCCACACCCACACCCACACTCGAGGACGTATTCGGGCTGCCCTCGGGCCAGCTCACCCACTCCCCCTGCTGGGTCGCACCTGACTCTCGGTTTCCCTCCCCTTCGGGGAGTAAGCCAGGTAGGTGGGGAGCGGAGGGAATGCCCGCGGTGGGGTGGTTCAGGTGCTGGGCCGGCGGGCAGCGCTTGGAGAAGCGGGCTCTAAGCTCCTCTAAGCTCCTGCAACGCACCGAGAGAGCATCAGAGCCCCACGCGTGCCCTGAAGTCTAGCTTCCCTTATTTCAACCAACTGCTGGTGTCCCCTAGGGACCAGAGCCAACGTTCAGTGTGGTTAACCTTAGGCATTTGACAATTTACAAGCCTTTCCTTTACATATATAATTTGTTGAATATCTGGGAGTTTGGCTCACCAAGAGCTACATTAGAAATTTCGTTTTCTTATGCATCCATTTACTCCTTGATTCATTGCATTCTCCTTTATTTCAAAAATTCATGTACTGCGTTGGATCTATAAAAATAAGAAGGCTTTTTGCCTGTGGCTTGCCAAGCACTCTCTCTACTTCATCACACCTCCTTTTTATGGAGAGGTGGGACCCCAGGGTTTTGCACCAAGCATTTTCTGGAACACAAAGGCACCCCCACAGCTTTCAAAGACAAGAAGCAACACCCAATGTTACCTTATGTGATTAATATGTTTGCCTCCAAAATAACTAAAGGGTACAGCTGTTTTCATGCTGATCTATATTCCTCTTGCAAGATCACTATGAAATCATGCCGCTCCCCCAGTAGTTTTGTATTTCTATAGTATCCCAAAGCCCAATAAACATTCATTAGCTATGAAATGCAGTTCAGATGTCTGTCCTTTCCGTCCCATTGTTTAAATTAAGCAAATTATTATGCACTCTTCTTCCACAAGTGACATTTCATTTCAAAACCAATTCATATTATTTTAGTGCCCCAGGCAACTGATATATCCAGGGGAATAAAAATCAGCTGTTAATTTTCAGAATCCCATTCTAGCCCCCACATGCAGCTCATAAAGCAGTGATAGGACACATTAGGTAGGCACGGGGTTTAGAGAACTCTAAGGTTGGGGGATAGAAGGTTACTGCATCCCAAATAAAAAGGGCAAGTGTGGAGAAGGCAAGGGATTTGGCATCATCTCCCCCCCCCTTTTCTTTTCTGATATTCTCTCCACCCTTCAGGGCCCTATGTTAAGACATCTTTCGCTCTTAGATGGTACCCTATCAAGGAACTGCCTTGCTACCCACAGAACATCACTATTTTATTTTCCTTTTCCATAGATACTAATAAAAAATAAAGCACATCTAAGCAAAAAAAAAAAAGCTAAATGTTTGTTGAGTATTGTCAAGTGCCCAGACTTGATGTAAGTATTCATCATTCATGCCATTCAAATGGTAAGTTAACTTTTTCAGGCCACTAGAGTATGAACAAGTGTAATTTAATATAGAGATAAATTAATAGCCTTCCCTAAGGGCTTTATTTAATGCCAGAAATAAAATAAGTACTCTGGAGAATATGACTTGCAAATTTCCTGGCATTGGAAGTCCGATCTCTTCAAGGTCAAGCCACTTTCCTCCTTCCTTCCTTCCTACCTTCCTTCCTACCTTCCTTCCTTCCTTCCTTCCTTCCCCGGCTTCCTTTTTTCCTTTCTTCTTCCTCTTCCTCTTCCCCATCTCTCTCTCTCTCTCACTTCGTTCTCTCATGGAGGAAGGTAAATCTGTGATACAACTACAAACTTTGGGAGAGTTTGACCTTCCTATGGCCTCATTCGGGGAACTGGGGTGTGTCTCAATGCTTTAGATTTTAAGCTGAGCTGTTACTAAGAAAAGAGTGGGTCAAAACTGCCCCAAAGTCACAAGATAGGACTGGTATCCCCGCTCTCCCTGGCCAAGGAAATGCTTGATGGTGTCTTGCCTGGGCCAGCTTTAGGCAGGTAAAACCAGCCCTCCCAAATCTGGTATGAGGCTTGAGTGGATTCCTTTGGAAGGCCTTTACATGGGCATCTTCTCCCACACAGAGCAGCCTCCAGCTGGAACACTCCTCCCCGCCTCTGGACGGGACAATATAAGCTTGTGGTTGTTTGTGGGACACAACACAGAAACAGACACACATGTGGTGGTAGAAAGGAAAATTTTGGAATGTATTGATTCTAGGTCCACCTGTATTCTCCAAACGGTCGCTTTAAGGCATTCAGTAGTATAGGAAGACTTCCTAGTGGTCATTAACATTATTTAATTCCGTAAGAGTAAGTGAATGAACAGAAATATGAAGGGTGAAAAACTCTTTAAAACATAATATTTTGGAATGATGATCAACATTTTGCATTGTAGATTATTAAAGATTATTAGTATGATATATGTAGAGAGCTTTCAAATACTTCACTGGAAATCACTGAACTAGTCCCTAAGGAAAACCAGTGAAAAATCACCATCCAAAACCTGTATCCAGGTGATTTCGTTTTACAATCTAGTTTTTCTGGGAGGAAGAGATTACTGGGGCTTTTTCCTTATCTATTTTACTGTACATTCTTCTTCAGCCTTTCAGGGATCCTTTTTTAAATTAAGTTTGTTATTTTAGTTCCAGTATAGATAACATACAGTGTTATATTAGTTTCAGGCATACAGTAATGTGATTCAACCTTTCCATACATCACCCTGTGCTCATCATGATAAGTGTACTCTTTAAACCCTATCACCTATTTCATCCATCCCCCCACCCACCTTTCCGAAGGATCCTTTTTTTTTTTAAATATATATGCCTCAATTTGTTTGACGTGCCATATTTTTTAAATGGCAACTTAATACAAATCCAGTAAATCTAAGATATAATCTTCTCTATGATACTATACCTATTAGTTTTAGCTCAGCACTGTGATCTTTTCCTTTACCCATATTCATATATACACCAAAAAGATAACTTCTGATTTAAAAAAAAAAATCTGGGCTTTTGTGCTGGTCCTGGTGTAGGCTAAGTAGGCAAACATCTAAGTGGCAAGGCCCTAGATATCCCAACCCAATAAACCTGCCTTCGTGGCCTCATCCCCTCCTACGGGGTCCCAGACACTCCTCTGAGTAAGATAACAGAGGTGGAATATTATGTACAACTGGTTTTGGAGTCTGTTCACTCTGTTCAAATTGGAGCTGTGTCACTGAATGCCTGGGTCACCAATGACTCACCTTTCTGAGCCCAGTGTCCTCGTTGATAAAATGATGGTAATGATTTGCCGTTTTCATATTCCCAATGATGTATAACTCTAAGGCAAAGATCTTGCATATTAGAAATTATTCAGGGGGTGCCTGTGTCGCTCAGTCATTAGTGTCGACCTTTGGCTCAGGTCATGATCCCGGGGTCCTGGGATCGAGCCCCGCATCGGGGTCCCTGCTCCGCGGGAAGCCTGCTTCTCCCTCTCCCACCACCCCGCCCGCTTGTGTTCCCTCTCTCCCTGTGTCGCTCTCTGTCAAATAAATAAATAAAATCTTTAAAAAAATAAAAAAAGAAATTATTCAGTGCATTACAGTTGTCATATTACTATTAAAACCTATTTGTAGGTACATAGAAAGTAAGAACTCGCTTCCTTCACTAGCCTTCTCTTACTAAGAGTTGTAGTGGAGGGAAGGAAATAGTAACCAGCAAAGCCCTGATGGGAAAGAAACACTGAGCCTAAAATTCCATGGATTTGGGCATTATCTGCCTCTTCATACTCCCTTAGACCCTTCCGACCTTCTCTTCCCTCCTTTCCATCCCTCCTCTCTCTTTCAATTCTCTCTAAAGACCAAGATGACCTCTAACCCAGGGTGTGATAATTTATTTAAACAGTAAACAGAAAGTACTACGTTTTGAAGGTCTAAATAAATGAACTATCTAGTTTTCCAAAGTCCAAAGAAATAAATTAATCTTTTATGTCAAAGAAATTAATGTTCAATGAGCTTATAACAAAGTAAGTTGAATATATATCCTCCAGGCTTTAGATGCTCATTCCCTCTCCTTCCTCCAACCTCTTAGGAAAGAAAAAGTAGAGAGTAAGAAGTCGGAAGCAGCAAAACTGGGAAGGAGAGGAGACTTAAGTTTGAAATAATTCTTTAAAAAGAACTTTCATGGAAGCAGAATGGTATTTTCAAGGGGTGGATTAGTAAGGAAGGTGATATCCTTGTACCGTGAACATTTCTCACCTTTCTTTTAAGGTAAAAACATCAGTATATTTGTCATTAATCTCAGTATAATTTAGTGGCTCTTATGATTCCCACAAACAATTCAGTTATGTCCTAACCTCATAATGCTTGGAGTTCAAGTTTTTTTCAGAGATAACCATGTGTGTTCTTTTAATGATAGCTTTAAATTGCTTTTATGTTTCTCATAGTATAATTTTTTCCTTAAATGTTTCTTTAGCCCTGTAATAGATACCTACCATCTTTTTGTAAATGTAGCATTTTTAAAACGTTAAAACGGGGCATATGGGCGGCTGTCAGCTATGCATCTGACTTCCTCTCAGGTCATGATCTCAAGGTCCTGGGATGGAGTCCCATGTCTGGCTCTGTGCTCAGTGGGGAGCCTGCTTCTCCCTCTCCCTCTGCCCCTCCCCACCTCATGGTCTCCCTCTCTCTCTTTTTCGAAAAAATAATCTTTAAAAAAAAATAAAATGTTAAAACGTTTACATGTGAACATGTAAA